CCGTGCTCGATTCTTTCACCACTTCCGGCTTATCTGGCGCGACGACCCCACATTCTCATCATCGACCTGCTCATCACGACTCACGACTGAAGTTGCCCGCGATGGCATCACAAACGCCGCTTGTCGTGCCCTGGTCCTCCGCCAGTCTGCCCTGTGGAAACGCCTCAGGGTGAAGCCACTCGTGAGATTCTGCCGAGCAGCTCGCCCCTTTGCATCGCGCGGCAAGATTTTGAGGGCGTGGGTGCGAGTTGGGCGCAGCTTGGCAGAACCGCGGTCTGATCACGAATTGGTTGCAGCTTTGCTGCCTCCTGTTATACTGGACCGCATTCACTCTGCCCCGCCGTGTTATCGATTAAGCACGCACATTGTGATTGTGATTGTAGAATCAGTCGATGACTCGGGGCTATATTGGTGAACAGCATAATCGTCTTGACGGGCTCGTGTGACCCTGCTGGCTAGCTGCCCTCTCGCACTGCGACTCGTCACTGCAGCAGGTGGTCTGAGCGGGGTCATCCGCGCAGGCGACAGCCACACAGCCACTGAGCAATGGTTGACCCACGACTTGACCAGGCAGGTATACACGCCAGGCTCGTGCAATACTGTACGATAACCGCATCTTGGCCCCACACTCGTACGCCCGGACAGTCACGATTGGAGCGTCGCAAGAAAAGTACATAATGAGCTTGGAGGCCGTGCGCCCCTCTTGCATTGGTGATCCCCTCCTTCATTCGACACACTTTTTGAAAAGCAAGCAATCAGCATACCTGCTGTCTTCAACACTCTCAACTCGCAACCCCCACAAGTTGGTCACCGTGCCGACTCATCTGTATCACCCGCCTTCAATATAAACAAAATGGGAAAGAGCAAGAACAACGCTGGCAACGCCAACGCCGACGGTGCTGCCAGCGACAAGGTTCAGGTGCGTATCGTTTCCTCCTTCGTGCTTGGCCATTGCATCGCGACATCCTTGTACTTACACCTGGCTGCCCCCTTTGATCGTGCACAGAAATCCGCCGGCACCATCGACTTCCTCTCCACCGAGGAGACGCTCGACTCTGCTCAACAGCAGGTACGCCTTCCTCACATCTCCAAGCCTTTCGCTCGCGAGTCTTGGGAGCGTGCTCGGCCCTGGATGCTCATGCAGCGTCAAAAGCTCGAGGGCATGGGCTGGGCTCCTGCCGACAATGCTCGCGTGAGTGGGCTAGATCGAGGCTACGGCTGTCAACATTCCGAGATGGCCGCTGATCTCTTGCCTTGTTATGCTACCACCCTGGTTCAGATCGACCTTTACAGTTTGAAGAGGAACGCTCCTCACGGCTCCTTCACCGAGGACGGTTGTGAGTGCTGTCGTCCCCTTCGTCAAGGTGACTGTTGTGGTCGCTGACTGTTTTCCGGTCCATCTTGATCACTTCAAAAGTCGTCTACCTTCGTGTACCCAAAGCCTTCATCAACTTCCATCGAAGCGGCAAGCCCGAGGACGACAAGAAAGACGAAAGGACTCACCGTCACACTCGACGCAACATTCACTCAACCGTCTACGGCATTTCCGATCCATTGGTCTGGAAGCTGAAGATCGACGCTGCCGAGTCGGACGAAGCGGACCGTGTGCCCAATGTCGTCTTTGACGTTCTCGAGCCGATGGAGAACATTGCCTATCTCGTCATGACTCTAGCTCCCGGACTCATCGTCCTCAACGCTTCTCGCAAGGACGCCATGATCCCCGGATCTCACTCCACCGAGACCTCTCCAGGCGCACCGTCTATCCGTCACCAAGCTCTCTTCGCCTCGTCAGAGGAGCTTACTCGCACGCTGGCCCCTGCTTTCTGGTACAAGCGCAATGCTGAGCACCTCCGCAAGATCCTCGGTGATGTAGCTTTCGAAGCTACGCTTCGCGCCGCCGAGGACGAGGAGCGCTGTACCACGCGCAAACTGGGCGAAGTCGCCGAGAGAGTCTGGGAAGAGATCCTTCCCGTCCAGGAGAAGAAGAAGAAGAGCAAGAAGACATCCGGCAAGCGTCGCGACAGCACAGCCACCAACGCTACCGCAGCAGCGGAAGCTGGCAACAACGCGCCTTCGGCCAACTTCACCCCGATGCAAGCTCCTGGTGTTGCTTGATGGCAAAGCGGTCGTTTGGTCAAAGGATGCCCTTCCAATCGACTCACCATCTTGCATCGGATAAAGTCATCTTAAGTGCGCGTTGCTTGCCCTTCCCTCCTGCTTGCGGTTTGCTCGGCTCGGCTTGACTCTACTCGAACTGGACCCGGACTCGACCGAATTCTAGCTTCGTACAACTTGACGACCCAGAAGCCCATCTTCGGATGGGCCTCTACCTATTCCTTCCATCTGATCGACACTCTCGACGACCGTCCTACGCTCCGCGTTCGACCTCTTTCACTAACCTTTTCCTAGTACCGATATTCTCGGCGTCTTTCAGCATCTACGACTTTGGCGATTGCGATCTCTACCTCAAAGAATGATATAATTCATACGTTAACAGCAAACCACTTCAAAGGGCAACGGCAAGCATCACCCACGTCATCCGATCTCTCTTACAAAGGGCATCCATCTCAGTCTTCCAGAACCTCTGAAATTGTAACACTTGGTCCTTCTCACGTACGACGCGAATGAATGCGATTCTATTTTCAGATGTGAAAGTTACTTGACGTTTGACAGCATGGTCAATTGCGTATGACTGTCTTGAGTGTGCGCAACTTGCTGCGGCGTGGTGCGGTGCGGCTAGCGTGGAAGAACTCCGAGAAGCGACACCACGCTGACGTTGCGTGTGACCGGTTGCAAGACCAACGCGTCTATCCCTCATCTTCCAATGCGTACTGAGGTCCTCTGACACCGGTCAATTGGACTCCGCTCAAGCCCTTGAGGATGGTGTTCATCACCTGCGTATCATTCTCCACTGTCGCCACCAGATGATTCAGTCCCTTTTGCTGCGAGCCCAAAATCTGCGAGCGATAGTCGTCAAAAGCACGGGACCGCGATCAGTCGAATTCAACGTTGCAAAGCAACGCGGATCATCGCTCTGTCCCGAGGGTGCCCTCTCCCTTTCGGCTGCCAAATTCCAGCAAGACTCACCCTTGCCACCTCGTCCAGCGCCTCCGGATCCACTACCGCCCATTCTGCGGTCCCACTCGATCCACTGGCAGAGCCTGATCTGGCTCCTGCACGAGCCTTGACCGCTCCCAGTGCGGCCCACAGCTCATTGACCCTGCTTTTCAGCTTGCCATTTCTGATCTCCGCTTCGCACTGTTCCAATCTGGATCTCAACTGCTCGTCCTCCACGCTCGCTTGCGCATATGCAGCGCCAGTATGAGAGCCGCTTCGCGATTGGCCAGGTTGAGAAGCGGAGGGTGGGAGAAGCGCAGCTGCTTTCCTAGCACTGGAAATCAAGCGATGGTGAAGCGCAACTTGCCTCCGCAACGCGGCCGAAGTCCGAGTCGTATTCTTCAGTGTGTGCGATTGAGCCAGCACAGCTGCTTTCTCTCGCAGCTGCGATACAAGCTGTCGTTGACGAGCTGCTTCGCTCTGCTGAGCATCTGCACGACTCTTGAGCTCATTGAAACCCACAGCCAAAACGGGCACAAGTCTGCGTGGTCAAATTCGCGTCTGCATGAGCTCTATGAGATGCAGAATTGATTTGCGACCGTCGCTCAGCTTCTCAAGGCACTCACCGGCGAGGATTAGGATTTTGATTGACAGCGTCCCTCCACAGCTCTTCGTGCCTGGGACCAACCGCATCGCTCCTCCTGCCAAAGTTGCTATTGACACTGCCACCTCCTGCGCCGGGTTGAGGGTTCAAGAAGTGCAGCTGATCGTTGGGTACTGGCACATAGAAGTAGTGCTGACAAGATCGATCAAAGGGTAAGCAAAGAAATGCAGGCGCCGCGAAGAGGGCAGTATTCAGCTGTGCTCACCAGGAACCGACACGTCTGGAGATTGTTGCTGTCCCATGCTTGGTGAACGGCAGCCAACCTAGCGGACAATGAGGGTCCTAGTCGCTTGTCCACCTGTTGCTGTTGTTGTTGGGGCTGAGATTGCTGACCAAGCGAGCCTTGAGACTGTCCGAAGAGACCCGTGCTTGTAGCACCAAGCGTCTGTGGTCCACCTTGGCTTTGTCCAAAGAGCGACAACGGCTTCGCTTGCGATGGTTGCGTCAGCTGCGGCTGTTGAGGTTGAGTCTGGTTCTGATTGAAAGAAGAGAATAACCCCGCTCCACCCGTGCTTGTGCTACCCGCTCCTAACCCACTTTGGGCAGGCTGTTGATTGCTAATTGAGCTGCCAAACGCGCCACCACCGCCGCCAAAAAGCGAAGTGCCGGGCGCTGGAGCCGATGTTGTGCTCTGTCCCGCTGCCTGACTCTGAGCTTGTCCAGATTGATTCTGTCCAAATCCAAACCCACCAAAGCTTGACCCTTGACCTTGACCCTGACCTGCAGCTGGCGTCGATGCTGACGCCGAGGGCTGCTGTTGTGCCTGTGAAGACTGTCCAAACGAAAAAGCGCTACCAGCAGGCTGAGAGGGCTGGCTGGACTGAGCCTGCGCTGGCGCTGGCGCGCCGAACGAGAACGCCGGCTTAGGAGCTTGGTTATGTTGAGCGGTGTTGCCGAACAAGGAAGCGCTTGGACCTGCCGTGCTGCTGCCAGCCTATAGATCGCAGGCAGAGACACAACAAAGGTAAGCGCCATACTCGACAGTATCGCCCTGGAAGCACGCATGACTACTCACTGGTGCGAAGGAAAAGGCCATCCTCGCGAGTGTACCAAGACCTTCGGGGCTTGGAACCCGCCAGACCGCAAGCGCTGCTCTTGGCTGCAAGTGCCAAATTGTTGAACGGATTGCGCTGTACAGCGTGAGCTCTCCGCAAGGACAATGAGCGTTCAAGAGTCGTGAGTGAGGTGCGGAAGTCAAGTCGCGGCTCGAGGATATGGTCGGGGTTAGTAGTCCCGTCTCTCCCCAAAGCTATAGACCAGAACATTTGACCAAATGCGCGCGGCTTTGCGTTGAGCGACGCGTTGGGCATCACGTGCTGGCCAGCTGAGTTATGAGTCGTGCGGTTTGCGCGGTGTTGTTCTTGAGTCACGAGTCTTGATTAGTAGTCACGAGTCTGATGAGTCAAGAGTCACGAGTCACGAGTGGCACACACAGGCAGCTTGCACAGGTGACGTTTGAATCATGAATGACGAATGAATACCTTTGTTGACACACGACTCGCTTTGCAATCACGACCATTCTTGTTTGGCACTCGTTACTCTCATCAGCGAGATGACTCGCACTCGCGCAGTGCTGTGCCTCTAGTATTACTCCAAGCGTACGGAACTGAAGGCATCCTGCATACCTGCGTTCCCTCAAACAGGTTCAGGGCGCGATTTCGGCACAGCGTGGTACCGCGGCGGTCACCGGCTGCGACGA